TTCCTTTGTTGTAGTTGCAACAACGAATTACATGGTCATTGGGCATTCGTTGTCTAGTTCTACTACTTCTATCTCCAAATTCAAGAAAGTTGCAACTTGAACGGGTTGCGTCCATAGGGAATTCGGCGATAGATGAGTTGGCTTAGCTGGGCAGTCGAAGAGGTGCAACGTGTTGTGTGGTCCTAGTCCACATGTGAGGCATGTGTCGGATCGAGCCGTCAATTATTGCCCAATATGAATTGAAGCGGTTGCACCATTCTGATCTTAGTTGAGCTAAGACTACTCGTGTTTGTCTGGGCAGCTGCTTCTCCTCTGCTGCGATGGATCGGGGGTGGTCTCCGCTTATGGTATTCATACGATATTGCCTGAGCGACTGCGTCCCTGTGAATACCATTCAGACCTGCTTGATAGGCTTCTTGATCTAGGGGTTCACGTTTATACCTTTGGACCTCTCTCTCTCTAGATCATGAAGATCTTTCCTGACGTGCCTGGGCGGGACAGTCCTGTCCATAAGACTATGGCAGGGTGTTTCTGGTGATAGCCCCAAGGAAGTACTGCATCGACAACATGTAATGTAATTGTGTCGATGGACGGGTAAGATCTTCGCCTCCTCGTATGGTCCTAGTCCACATCCGAGGTATGTGTCAGATCGAGCCGTCAATTATTGTCCAATATGAATTGAAGCGGTTGCCCCATTCTGATCTTAGTTGAGCTAAGACTACTCGTGTTTGTCTGGGCAGCTGCTTCTCCTCTGCTGCGAAGGATGGTATTCACAAGAAATTGCTCTACTGCCTGAGCGACTGCTTCCGTGTGAATACCATTCAGACCTGCTTGATAGGCTTCTTGGGGTTCACGTTTATACCTTTGGACCTCTCTAGATCATGAAGATCTTTCCTAAGGTGCCTGGGCCAATTAATATCTCAAACTGAAGTCAAAAAAACAAGCAAAAAAATGCAATGTTAAAAATAGATCAATTCATAAAAAAATATAATTACCTTTTATCGTTTCAGTAAATTTCGCTCAACACGACTACACAGAGAATTGGTTGTGAAAAATCCCCTCTTAAATAACTGACGTTCACAAACCGTTGCCATCTGTAATGTAATTTTGGCAAACGCCACTAAACTACGGCTGCCGCTTGATAGGTCAAGCAACCGTGGAGCTTCTGGTATAGACCTCTATTTATGTTATGATTCTAATCTTCTTACCGAGCGCTATGTTAATTACCTGCAACTGACCATTTTCCAGGCTTCGGGAACGACATGGATGACTATCGTCGAAGTGAGGACTTTAGTCAGGTTATCTAAAACGGCACTGTATTGTTTGATTCGCCTTGTCACTATCGAAATAAATCTATGATAGATTAATGTTGCAGGCATCGTATTTTGACCACAAATGTATTAATCTGGTAATCACAGGAACTGCTATCTGGGAGGCTATTACAAAGAAGTTCATTTATGCCCTGTATACATTACTATTCACATAGAATTTAATAAAACAACTCAACATTTTGCTTAATTTGTTTTTAATGAACTTTTTTTTTTGTTTTTTTAAATTTATTTGCCTAACAAATAAATCAAAAAATTAAAGCAATAATATATTTTTACAAACATTTGTTGTCTTTTATGCGGGCACAATAAAGACCTGTATTTTAAGGTAATTAGTGTACCCAATGTTGACTATAATTTGTGACAAATTTCTTATATAGTATTTTTAGGGTGCTTGAGAATAAATTTCAAAGAAAAAATGTATATAAAAATAGGTCTAAAGGATGATAGACATTTATTATGTGTAAAATACAATAGAGTTTTTATATAAAATTGTTCTAAATATTTAGTATTTTGTTTTACAATAAAACAGCTATTAAACCCATAGTCCATTTTATAATGATTTTCAATAAATATTTATGTCTTAATTTAGTAAAGATACATTTTTTGGTAAATTTTTATTTTGAACAGCACAATTCACTAAAATCTTTATAATAACAATAACTGAAGATGGACACGATCAATTTGTATTGGATATTTTTGAAATAATTGTGGCAACTACACAAGTTTATTCTGGAAAATACATCTACATATATCGCTCATTTGCTGCAAGACCGGTATAAATCGAAAATCTTGATTTTTGAGTTAATTATGCAGAATTGTTTGCTATATCAGACTTTTATGTTGCGTAAAAAACATCTACACACTCTGATTGAAAGGCTGTAGAAGTTCCTCAGTTCCTTGCAAGGTGCAAGTAAATTGAAAACTTAAAACAAAATTTCTGCAAAATCGATTTTTTCATTAATGCCGGTCTTGCAGCAAATAAGCGATATGTTGTTGTAAGAATTCAGTAAAATCCTAAAATGGTGCCATGATTTCATTATATTATTTCCAATATAAATTAATCGTATTTTACATCAGCTAGTTAATTTACATATATATTTTTAAAGCCATATAGTATAATTGTCGAACAGATTCTATTGTCATGCATAAAACTAATTTATCGTTTCAATTATGATTTGCTTAATAGACTTTGAAAGCCTACACCAAATTTTTAAATAATATGTGAGAATTTCATATTTTTAGTCCACTTTGGATACGATGTAAACAGATTTCGAAATATACGAGGAATAGTCTCCGTGAGTAGAAATTTTAATTTGAAATCACATTGTCTGAAATGAAAGAAATTGAGAAGGAAAAATTAGTACAAAAGTATATAAATATATAACATATATATATAAATATATAACAAGGCTGTAGAGGTTTATAAAACAGCCATTAGTTTTTATGGGGACAGATTTTCTATGAGACTTTAATAGAATTAATACATCTTCTCGATATATCACATCTTCTTGATACATAGTTTTTTTATACCCTTCACCACACTGTGGTACAGGGTATTATGTCTTTGTGCATATATTTGCAACAGGCAAAAATAATCGAGATAGGCCCATGGTTCCTTTTGAGAATATGCATAGAATCACTTTCTGAGTCGATTAATTCATTTCCGTCCGTCTGTCTGTCCATGTTAAATTGTAAACCATTTATGATCCGAATTGGTTGAAATTTGGCACAACTAATTTGTTTGGCCACAGGACGAAACCTATTGATATTCCTCCCATATATATTTTCGTCCGATTTAAGGTAAATGGTGTACCAAAGTCCCTATATATCTTTCGATTTCCACGAAATTTGGCACAGCGTAATGAATAAGGTCTAGAATGATGTGTGTTAAGTTTCGTGAAAATCGGTTCAGATTTAGATATAGCTCCCATATATATCTTAGTCCGATTTACGGTAAATGGTGTACCAAAGTACCTATATATCCTTCGATTTGCACGAAATTTGGCATATCGTAATGAATTACGTCTAGAGTGATGTGTGCAAAGTTTCGCGAAAATCGGTTCAGATTTAGATATAGCTCCCATATATAGTTTAGCCCGATTTTAGGTAAATAGTCCACTAAAGTCCCTATATATCTTTCGATTTGTACGAGATTTGGCACAGAGTAATGAATAAGGTCTAGAATGATGTGAAAATCGCTTCAGATTTAGATATAGCTCCCATATATATATCATCGTCCGATTTAAGGTAAATTGTGTACCAAAGTCCCTATATATCTTTCGATTTGCACGAAATTTGGCATAGCGTACTGAATTAAGTCTAGAATGATGTGTGCAAAGTTACGTGAAAATCGATTCAGAATTAGATATAGCTCCCATATATATTTTTATCCGATTTAAGGTAATTGGTGCACCAAAGTCGTTATATATCTTTCGATTTCACGAATTTTGGCATACAGTACTGAATTAAGTCTAGAATGATGTTGCTAAGTCTAGAATGATGTTGCTAACAAAAACGCGACGTCTGTTAGGATATAAGTGATGAAGGGTATCATATAGACGATAGCCCTGTTGATCTAGGGGTTCTCTCTTATATCGTTGGACCTTCCTCTCTTTAGTTCGTGTAGGTCTCTCTTTACATGCCAGGGTGGGGGAATCCTATCCATAAGTGATTCTGGCTATATCACCCAAATAAGTTCGACAACATCCTGTTGTGTCGATGTACCGGTAAAACAATCGCCTCATCATGTAAATGAACAACGGGTGTCATAGTTTTGCAGTTTTCAGAGCGGAATTGTGACCGGTATTTATTTAGCCTCATCTAGTTGTGTCAATAGAACTCTCGAATGTCTTCTGTATGGAGTGCTCTAGAGGGACACCTATAGAACCTTTTAAGAAATTCTATCAACAAAAAGGTCCTCCTCCATTAGATCTTCTAGAGAGGGTCAACGGTCTACATTAGGTCTTCTGTGAAAGGTCAGCGGTCTACAGAAGACCTGTAAAAGGCCTTATCACCATAGCAGACCATGGTAAGGTCTTCTGAATGTCGTACATCTATATAGTTCATTAGGTTTTCTGTCTTCAATAGAGTACCCTAAGAGATATTCAATATATAGGAAATGTGTTATCCATAGAAGACTTCTTGAAAGACTCCTATATAGAGAAGACCACGTTTAGATTTTTTATTTATAAAAGACCTAAAGACTGAAGGCCTGCATATGGCAGCTACTTCTACCTCCATCTACGGAAAACTTGAATGTCTGTCATGTATTGAGCCATGTTCTGACACTACGTTGCTCACTAAAGTTTATTTTCACTTTCTGGAGATTGCCAGCTGTCTCACTACTTGTTTGTTATTTCGCAACTAAAAGTTCCATTAGAGCACCCATTACAAGCTCCGAAGGTAATCAGCGGAGGAAGGTTGTGATATTTTGATATACATTACATAGTGGAAAGGTTCGAAATAATCGTTAGAATATATAATTGTTTGTAAGATGATGATTTTTTTCTATTGATTGTTCGTTAAGCCTGCAATTTATTGATGACCTCAAAAATGAAAATTATTTAAAAATGAAAACACAACCTAAATACAACTAAATCTCTTGTGGAAAAAAGTGTACATCATAACTTACCATTTGACTAACTGTCAATCCCGTTTTTTGTTTGAATTTCAATGCTGTTCTGTTGCACCTGCCGCCGATCGCCTCTGTCTTATATCATATTCAATACTCATATACATTGAACGATTATATTCCAAAGCGGGCATTGCGGATTTTGGTTGATTACGATTCACCACAGCATCTTTCCATATCATTGCCAACAAAAGATAGAATCCACCAACAATTTTATTAAATACCTCAATAATTTTCAATATAATTGGTGTTAGGACATGGGTCAGACGGCTAAATTCGAACATAAATCGAATGGCAAAAATACCCAAAAATTTTACGGCCATTAGAGCACCCGAACACAGTGAAACAATGACTAGACCCATAAATCGTAGAACACCCTTAAGATTTTCTTTGGAAATGTCATTGGCCATAAAATCGTATATGGTCTGTTTGAATGTGGCATTCCACTGTTGGAACAGTTGGGCAAAATCTTGTAAACTGACCTCTTTTTCGTTGGCACCATCCACCGCTGCTGCTGTATTAGTACCCGTTGTTGTCGAATCAGCTTGAACTGTTTCCGTTGAGACCGTTGATGATTTAATATATTTTTCGGACATTTCCTCAGAATCCACAGAGCGTACCACTTTCAGTTTCACCACAACTTCATTGGCACGAAACCGTAAAGATTTAATGGAAAACCAATATTGACCAAATGCCAAATCTTCAATTTCAGCCCATATAAATGTGTCCATAGCACCAGGTGTGGGTTTACTTCCAACCAGTGGACCTTGGGTAACACCAACCCACATATCTGGATTCTGTTGTGAATAGAACATTTGTAACTTCTCACAGATATCTTTGAGTAGTTTATTTAACTCCTTTTCGGATTTGTGCAGGCTGACAATGTCCCGATAGCCTTGAACGGCTTCAACATAACGTCGTTCTTCGTAGAAACCACGAAAGAGTCGGGATTTCAGAATTTGTTTGCATAAACTTTGTAGTGCCAATTCGTGGGGATTTGTTGGCATCGGCGCCGCTGTGGTATTATTTAGAACACTAGTGTCGCTAGGAGCTGCTGCAGCTGTTGCCATTTTGTTATTGTGTCCCTCTTTGGATTGCGTGTGCCTACGTCGAAGAAAAATATAAAAAGAGCAAGCATAAACATAAAAGCTATAAATAGGACAAACATGGTCAAGATCAATTTTGCATTAAAAATATTCACCTTGTTAGGGTAAATGTTCCTCGTCGGGTAGTTTTAAGTGTCTGTGTGTTCTACGCACAAACAAACAAACCTATGCCGATACAACAACAATGTACGCTTGGTTGGACTTCGTAATTTTTTTGTTGTTCCCCGTTCAAATAGTTTTTTTGTTGGCTCTTTCTTGTTATTAAATTTTGAACCGAACGACCTCTTCACTGAGTCACTACTTTCGAGAGATGTACATAAATTTCACTTTTCGTTTGACAATAAATGGTGGGATACTGTGGTATACCTATGAGTTCCTGTAGGGGGCTATATCCGATTGTACATATTATACATAATATTGTTTGGAACTGTCGGAATTTTAAACAAAAATACAAATTTGAAGAAAATCTTTAAAATCTTTCTGCAGCCGGTTAGGTGCCTCGGTGTGTTTTGTTTTGATTTGCTAGAGTTGGGTAGTTCCGGAACGAACTAGTTCATTGGAACTATTCCGAGAAAGGAACGAACGGAACTAGTTCCAGTTCTTTAATTAATATAATTCCTTTCTCTGATCCAGTTCCTTTTTTGAACTATTTGAAGCAAAGGAACTGTATGGAGCAAACGAACTATAAAGAGCAAAGGAACTATATGGAGCAAAGGAACTGTATGGAGCAAAGGAACTATATATGGGAACTATATATGGAAAAACGAAAAAAAATAATAAGAGAGAGATTCAAAAGAACAAGACTCCAGCCTTCATAAAATTCGCTTGTTAATCGTCGTTCTGCCAAGACTCAAGCGACGTCGTACGCAAACCTTCGCCAACAAATGGTCTGTTCCAGTACTTTTTATACCCTCCACCATAGTATGGAGGGTATATTAATTTTGTCATTCCGTTTGTAACTCATCGAAATATTCCTTTCCGACCCTATAAAGTATATATATTCTTGATCAGGGTAAAATTCTAAGACGATCTAGCCATGTCCGTCCGTCTGTTGTAATCACGCTATCTTCTGAAGGAATTGAGATAGGGTGCTGAAATTTTGCATAGGGTTGTCTTTTGTCTGCAGGCAGGTCAAGTTCGAAGATGGGATATATCGGTCCACGTTTAGGTATAGCTCCCATATAAGGGTACCCCCCAATTTTCGGTATTTTGGGGTTCTTGAGCGCGTTTTTCAAGCGAATTTGTAGTAAATGTATCCACAAAAAATTATAAATATAGGTCCACTTTTTCTTGTAGCCACCATATAACGGTACCTAATTTTCAGATCGTATTTTTCACCGTTGGCTGTAATTTAGTATTTTGAGTTCTTACGGTACCTCCTAATTTTCAGTATTTTTTGGGTTTTTATCGTATTTTTCACCGAATTGGCTGTAATTTAGTATTTTGAGTTCTTAGCAGGTACCAAATCTCTCCACAAAAAAATTTAAATATAGGTCATTTTTTTCGGATATCCCCCATATAAGGGTACCCCCCAATTTCGGTATTTTGGGGTTCTTGAGCGCGCTTTTCAACCGAATTCGCTGCAATTTTGTACATTGGGTTCATATTGCGTACCAAATATCTCTACTAAAAATTATAAATATCGGCCCACTTTTTCTGGTAGCCCCCATATAAGGGCACCCCAAATTTTCGGTATTTTGAGGTTCTTAAGCGCGATTTTCAACCGAATTCGCTGAAATTTGGTACAGTGGGTTCATATTGGGTACCAAATATCTCTATTTAAAATTATAAATATCGGTCCACTTTTTCATTTCAAATACCTGTCAGTATACCTGTGGTGGAGGGTATCCAAAGTTCGGCCCGGCCGAACTTAACGCTTTTTCACTTGTTTAATAGTAAAGCTACTAAAAGGGAAACATTTCAAGTCTCAGAGTACAAAATAATTTGAAAAGTTCGGGAACGCAAATCTAGTAAATATGCCCCAAAATTAGATGGCAATACTTCAAAATCAACATAACAAAAAGTTTACAGAGAAAGCCATTTTGTTTTGTGCTCTCTTAAATTTGATTCAATGCTTTACCAGTTTTATGGGTTCAGGAACGGTTTACGAGTAAAAAGTTGCAAAACTTGTAAAATTAGTAGATTCTTTTAGGTTTTGGAACGGAGCTAAAATAAAAACGACGACTGAAAAAATTGAAAAACGTTCCACCTGCTAACGAATGGGAGGAGAAGACAAAATGGCCGATAAAGATGAACTCAAAATGGTATAACCGAAAGTTTACGAATGAGGTTTAGGCAAATTATGATTAGGGATATGTAAATCGACTTTCCACTAATCGATTAATCGACTTTTTTAGCAAAGACTTCTATCTTTAATGAAAACGTGCAGCACGTTACAGTACTGCAGTGGTTCGATTCTTTGTTTGGTTTACGACAGAATAAAGTGTGCATTCAAAATGCCTAAAATCGCACGGGGTTCTTATAAGGAGGCTATGTCAAAACATAAACCTTCTTTTTTTAATTTTAAGGCTGCAGCGAGGTATAAACAAACAATCCTCGAGCAGTATTGGCTCCTGTCTGACGACACCGCCACGGCATGGAAGCAGATGTCAAAAAAGGCGTCTATAGATCGATATTTGTTTATCAAAACATTGGCCTTCATAAATTTGTTGACACGATGATTTGTATCCTAGTTAGTATTATTGGATAATTCGGCTGTCTTAAATTGTATTGGGAGGCTATCTAGAAAACATGGAACTTTTGAAAATATTCTAGGAAGAGGTTTTATACCCACTAAGAAAACCGACCAACTGAATGGAGTATGTATTGACGAAATGCGAGAGTCTTTATAAACGGAACGAAGAGAGTCTTCATATACGAGGTATATATAAGAAGATATTATTTAAAGACGAGCTGGAAAGAGTCTTTCATGGACCAGTTGAATGGATTCTCTATAGTCGAGCTAAAGCAGGAAGTCGTTATAGACGAACTGAGGGAGGTGTTTCTAGAAGGGTGTCTTATAGATGTACTGAATGGAGTCTTTCAAAGACGAGCTGAAGGGAGTATTTCATATACGACCCTTCAGTTCTTTCTTTCATATACGAGATAGGGAGCCTTCACATAAAGTCTTTCTAGACGAGCTGAGGGGAATCTTTATATACGAGCTAAAGGGAGTGTTTATAGACGAGCTGAGGGGAATCTTTATATACGAGCTAAAGGGAGTGTTTATAGACGAGCTAAAGGGAGTCCCTATAGACGAGCAGAAGGGAGTCTTTATAGGCGAGCTGAAGGGAGTCCCTATAGACGAGCTGAAGGGAGTCTCTATAGACGAGCTGAAGGGAGTCTCTATAGTAGACGAGCTGAGGGGAGTCTCTATAGTAGACGAGATGAGGGGAGTCTCTATAGTAGACGAGCTGAAGGGAGTCTCTATAGTAGACGAGCTGAAGGGAGTCTCTATAGTAGACGAGCTGAAGGGAGTCTCTATAGACGAGCTGAAGGGAGTCTCTATAGACGAGCTGAAGGGAGTCTCTATAGTAGACGAGCTGAAGGGAGTCTCTATAGACGAGCTGAAGGGAGTCTCTATAGACGAGTTGAAGGGAGTCTCTATAGACGAGTTGAAGGGAGTCTCTATTGACGAGCTGAAGGGAGTCTCTATAGATGAGCTGAAGAAAGTCTCTATAGACAAATTTAAAAGAGTCTTTATAAACGAAATGAACGGGTTTTTTATATACGAGCTGATGGGTGCTGATTGGAGTCTTTATGGACCATCTGAATGTAGTCTTTACTGATGAAGGTAATATTTATAGACGATCTTAAGGGAGTCCTTATGTACGAGCTAAAGGTGTCTTATAGCCAAACTGAAGTTAGATGATGGAAAACAGGGATTACTATTAGCTGAGCTGAAGCAGGAAGTTTTTGTAGACGATCAAAAAGGAGTCAACAAATGTTGAACGTTTGTGAGAGAGGTGCCAAAAGCAATGAACCGATAAGGTCCATCATTACATTTTATATGGGCTAGGTAAAAATATAATATGCAGAATTTGGACCAAAACATATGATAAATTTTTCAAAAATTTTGATCATAGTGACGGCGAAGTTTCAAAAGACATTAGTGAATTACTATGGACATCTTTTGAATAATAGCGGTATTTAGTATCAGAGACCTAGGTCAAGAACAAGAACAGTAAGTAGTATCAGGTGATTTCAGTTGTCTTGACGTATCTGCCTTCAACTATAGAGACACTGACCTCAGCGACATCTGTTGCATAATAGCACACCTTCGAGTCTCTATTTCTAAAGTGACTTAAGATACCTAGACCAAGAACTATAATTCTTAAGAACTGATGCCTTCAGAACCATCTATGGAACAGTAATATCTGTCAGTGGTCTCCGTTATTTGGCATTTGCTAAAGAGTAGCTTCTATGTCACCTGTTTAGAACTATAATCCGGAAAACTCCAGAGTCCACTACCATCCTGAAGCTGGAATATTAGGTGGGGTGATAAGACCTCTAAAAATATAATTTGGATTGATAGACTATCTATTTAAAAGTATCTGCATTTGGAGACATTTAGTATGGATTACCTTCTCATTATAGAAATGCGGACATCAGATCCATTTACAGTAGATTACCCACAATTATCTTCTCAAGCCAATATTGCAGGAAGCTTCAGCGACCTTTACTAGAAACTAGTTGATTTTAGAAACATCTAGTTATCTACGCCGGAAAACATTGTAAATAAAGTTGAGACCGCTACTGACCTTAGGAAATGTTATTGGCTGAGTTTATCACCTCAGAAGCAAGTATATCATAGAATCTGAGCCTGTAAGCTATTACTATGCTTGGATTCTTGGTTTTAAAAACGACAAAAACTGTGTAAGAAGCTTCAGCGACCTCTACTATAG